CGCACAGCAAAATTTTGCAGTACCTGCAGCAGCAACCTTATACAGAAATTACACAATGGCGTTCAAGAAAAATGTTGCAACAACTCAACTTTGCATCCAAAGTTTTCCCCATAATATGCTGGTGGTGGGTTGGGTTTTTTTCCAAAGTTCACTTGGAAATAAACTTTAGAGACCTGCTAATGAAAGACTATTCAAATAAGATGGGGAGAAGGATATAAAGAAAGTAAAACCTAGGTAAGTCATGTTTGAAATAAAACAAAACATGCTTGGTAAGTTAGTAATACTAGAAACTGATTTCCTGCTGCATTCCCTTCATAAGGCAAAAATGGGAACGCTATACAGTGAACTTCAATCCATCACAGCTGGAAATGTGAGTTTTGAAGACCATGTTGGGTAAAGATAACCAAATGAACTGACAGAAACATCTGTCTTTCAAAGAGATTATTTGCTAAAGACAGAGAGAATGTAGTGGATCAAGGATTGGACTTGATGATCTCAGAGGTCCCTTCCAACCTGGCTGAATCTATGGTTCTATGATATATGACAGTTTGTACCCATGCAGTGAGGTGACTTGGATTAATCCTTATAAATTCACCTCAGCCTCCTAGGCTTGTCACCCACGTGAGTGTGCTGGGACTTACACTTCCAGAGCTTCCTTACTTCTCCCAAGGTAGGGCAAGTGAGAGCAAGTACACTTTTCACCTGAAGTAGAACACTAATGTAAATGTACTCCTACGGAAAATCATGAAAATAAGACTGCCATCACTAAAATACTGCCATCAGTTAAATATTGCCTTCACTAGAACAACTAGCATAAGCAGCTGTATGTCCTTCCATTTCACTTCTTGTCCTGTTTCTTCAAGAAAATTTCCATTGTCTTTACTCGAGTCACTGTTTGTTACTAACAACAGAATTCGAGCTCAACAAGAACAAGCTAATTAGGCCAACAGCCATGTCATATCCAATTTTTCCAGGGTAACCTTGTCAAGTCTGAGCATTTAATTTCTACACCCAGAATACTCTTACTTCTAAATATTAGACATTATGCTTTGCTACAACTGATAGAGATAAATGCACTTAGACACGGAAAGAGTTCCAAAATAAATTTATGGGAAAATAATCACATGCAGTCACTGAACCAACACAGAAGAAACAGAAAAAAATTCTATCACCAGAATGTTTGGATAAAACTAAAAGAAGATGGAACTTTCTGGTGAATCCAACAGTGATTTTTCTCAGTCCAAGAGTATTTTCTCAATGTGATGAATATTCTAACTCCTGGAGGGTCCCTATCAAAGAAATACCTGCGTAGTCCCGTCACAGCCTTCTTAACAGGCTAATCATGTCATCAATCCTGTGAGGGCAAAAATTACCATGCCCTTGCATTAACTGATCTTCTAAGAGTTACTCAAACCAACCTTTCAACAACCTGAGAAATTTCACTGGATGTCAGGCCCAGAAACACCTCTTAAAACCCACACAAATAGATATTATTTTTAAAGCATAACAACGCTGTCATTGTTCTGGAATTGAACTCGGGAAGATGCTCCATAAAACTCAAAATACAGATTATTTTTTGATCGTAGCAGTCTTGGAAGAAGCCTGTCAAGACTGCTACTGTGTTGAAAATTAGAGTAATTAGGAAGGCTCCACTATATGTTTCCATATAAATATTTTTCAAGTAAATAAGTTACACTCCAAGTGAACAGAGTCAAAAATAGGTATATAAAACTACTTGCTAGCCATCCCAATCTAGGAAAGACAATCCTTGATTTTTTTGTTAAGGTAAAATTCTTTTCTCTACTGAAAGAATTATCCCACTCCCCAATTTTACTTGCCTTAGAAGCAATGTTCCTATTTCAATAGTTTTACCTGCCTCCAGGTTGCAAATGGTAATGACTACAGAAGTACAGGGAAGTTTGCCCTTTCACAACATTAATATACTCAGTTCTATTCAGTTTTGTTCATCTTTCTGATGAAGGATTTTCCCCATTAATTAAGAAGGCCTTGCATGATAAGAAATAGATTCAATAACAGAAATCAGAGAGCCCAAGTTTATTTCAGCTGGTTTGCTCTGTGGTCAAAAGGTGCCTTATAACAGCCATGTTATCACATACCTGTGTTAAATTCAAGCTTTAATCAGTTCTTAAAGCTTTTACACAGAAGAGACTGAATTCTATTCTAGTTCTCTTTGTGGCTACTCATTTTCATTGAAGAGAGATTACAGGAGTGAAGAACAGCCTTCAAAGATTTTTGAGGATTTAACACGGGGCTAATTGAAAAGCAAATGTAGGTGAAGCAGCCCATTGTATGGAGACAAGTCTGCTGAGCACTTTTAATAAGGCAAGACCTCCTCACTGAAGCCCAAGACCTCCTTTGTCAATATGGTTGTACACACAAGACCGATTAGCAACACGCATGCAAACTGCCAGCACGTGCTCAGAACTACCTCATTTCTGAATTGTTTGGAGAGGGATACAGAGTATTATACAACATGCTTGCTAAATTTAAATTTAAAAATGTTCATTGATGTTGTCTATTTAGAAATCCTTCCACTATTACTGAAGTCAGTGCACAAATCCAGTTCAAAGCATGAAGCTTGCCTTCCGTGCACTTTACTCTTGTTTTCCTGGGAAATTACGAGCAGCTAAACTCATACACATATTTCTCCAAAAAGAGCATTTGGCATGGTAAGTTCTGCTGGGAAATGTTTAAATGAGAAGGGACTTAGTTTGTGAACATATGAGCAAGAGAAGGTGAAAGAAAAATTTAAGCTTCCTGCCCATATATCTCCTTAGACTTTTTCTTTTTAAATACACTGGTACACTCAAGATTTGGGACAATGTATGTACTATTTTTAATATTTGTCAAAACATGAAAAAAAACCTATTAAAAAAATATAAAAGCAGGTTACAAGTGTATTGAACTATGGAGCCACTTTGCCCCATCTATGACTGAAAAAAATTCTGAACAGTCTGTAACTGAAAACATCAACTCAGGTATGAATTCACTGAACCAGTATGACCTCAAGCACAAAGTTCTAATTATTTTGGCAGGTTCTCTGAACAACAGAAAATAGAAGTCATAGATCCTACTGGGACTTCTTCCATCCTCCTGCATCTGGGGTTTTCTGGAAGAAGCAAAAACCCCTCTTGGTCCTGTAATGTTCAAATTGGTTTGTATTTACAGTAGTTCAGCATGAAAAGTATCCAGTGACCTAAAAGGCTGAACATACTCTATCACAGTAAAGCTGAATGCTATGGGCAATTCCTTTTTAAGCAGGGATCTTCTAATCAATCTTGTTCTTCTAGTTTGTAAACTACCCACAACTGCAATTTCTCCCCAGATATTTTCATAACATTATATCCTTCCTAGATTAGCTCTGTTAATAGCAGGTGTTATGTAAAACAGCACCACCACTCGTTCTCATATCCTTCTCAATTTTTTTACTTTTTTAATTTAAACAGGTTTTTTTTCTGAAATATGGCAGGGATTTTGATTACAAGTGTAGTTCTCACAGATGTTTTCCAAGACCAGCATACTTTGCTAGCCCTTAAGAAACTCTGTCTTGTCCCACTCAGTTCTGCTATACTTACTGGACTGGCAGGGTAGCCACCATCTAGCTATATTCTGCAACACTACAAATGGTGTAGGTAAATTTGGACATCTCATAATAGACAGCTGTTTGCCTTCAAAAAAGTCCCACAGCAACTTTTACCCCTCAACAGAATAAAATACACCTTCATTTTTAGGATTCCACAGAGGGGAAAAAACAACAACACAAACCCCCAGATTTCTCTTCCTCACCCCCCCAGTTAAACTACCTAATACCAACAAAACTAAAAAAAACCCCAAACCTCAAAAATCATCAGTGGGATCATTCTGCTTGGGGACTCCCAGAATTTCTCAGTCAGGCCTTTTCAAATCCCTCCAGAAAGAGGAGCACCCCCAAGGGAGCTGTTATTCAACACCAGTACAGGCTGGTAGAGCCTGTCCTTATTAACACACGGTGAGATTCATGTAACCTAGCTTTAGACATCAAAAGGTTAGACATTTAATTCTTAGTTTGTCACTGTAGGCTTTTCTACAGTCAATGGAGAGAAACAGGCATCTCCAGGGGGCAAGTTGTCTGACCTGCCTATTTTAGGCTGAGATGAATCACTCTCTGAAGGTGCCCATTTTTCCTCAATTGACTGTAAAGTGAATCTAGGGTGACTTCCCCAGCCTTTGATATCTATATTTCAGATATCTTGGTGAGGACATCTGAATTTTAGCCACAATTTTCAGAGCTCAAACTCAGCATCTCTGACAAATTAGCAATGTTATACATCTGTTCATTGAAACTAAAATTTTCACACCAAACTCCCAGATTATATCCAGTTGACGTTCACAATCCTGTCCCTTATAGAGACAATGTCTTTGTTTTAATCAGTCATAACTTCAAGAAGGCAAAAACCAATTTGATTCTGCTACAGTAATAACTCTTGGGTTTCTTCTGTCCTATCCAGAGCTGACTCCCACCAAATAACTGTTCTGAATCCGCCAGTGAAGCACTTTCACTTCAAATTCTTTTATTATTATAAACCAAAATCCAATAAGCATCTTTCAGCAGTAACTACATTTTTCTGCCAAAGTCTGACACGAAATTTCAATTTTCAGTGCTAAGCCTTCATAACTTCATATCAACAAACATATAAAGAACAGGACAACACTGAAAGAGAGAAACTGTTCCATACATCTCAATTTCATAATGGAGATCTTCCCAGCTATGCATTTTTCCCATGGGATGCACTAGTGTTACAAATTCAGAAAGGTCCTTTCAATTACTATTTTTGGACAGATGATCCATTAGAGCAATACTCACCATTAACACTGTACTCACGGATATACTCTATACCTTAAGGCTAAATGAGCCCTCAGATAGAATCTAATCCATGATCCATCAGCATTTAACTTAAATGACAGTCCTATATGTTTTTCCTTTAATGACAAATTCTTACCGTATATGTCTTTCTCCACTGATGTGTTCCCTTCTCTTTCTCACCAGATCTGAACCACCAACATTGCTTCTGTAATACATAAAAAACAATGTTCTTTGAAGTATTACATTACCATCTTGTTTCTGTATGTTTGCGGTATTTTTTCTTGTTTTAAAAAAAGTTGCAGCTAAAGAAATAACTGTTAGAATAGTAGTTAAAATTACATACAAGAAAAACAAAAGGAAAAGTAAGAAGAAATATTCTTCTTACTAGTTATGAAAGTTACTAGTAATGAAAGCTCCTTTATAATCTTGCCCATGTTTAATACATCAAAAGTATTATCACTAAATAAAAGAAAATAAGTTTTAGCACGTGACCAGTTGAAACCATCAAAAATTAATCACTTTCCTTCAACTCTGTGCATTTATTTCAGTCTGCCTAATCTACAATGTTGTTCTATACCGTGTTGCTACAGTGAAATCCATTTGCTCAGAGGCACCTACAGCAGACAATCAAGTTATTAGGGATCTGATTACTGATCTTCTTGCAGTAGACGTGGGGCAGATTCTCCTTTCCTCTTCATGCAGAGGCAGAATCTGCCAGGCTGTGAGTAGTGCTGGCTCTAGACACCTGACTGGCACTGGGACTGTCATCTACCAATTCCTAGTCACTTCCTGAATATTAGGACTTTTTAAACACTGTTGTGCTTAACTACCTGCAAGTATATGCTACACTTAACAGTACTTTTAGGGAAGAACTCTGCAATGTTTTTTGCCATGATTCATAACAACAGTCCCACAAATGAACGCAGTTAAAGCATAGGCTTAGCTAAAGCCCATGGCTTATCTCAAATGGGAGCAGCACAGTGTTTTACTCAACAACAAATACCCCAAATACTCTACAGACAGATCTAAAACATAAATCAGTAATAATTTATTTCCCATGAAAATGCTTTATTCAGCTGGTTGCAGAGTGGAATCACTACAACTAGAAAGCCAGTCAGAACAAAAATAAACTCTTCATTTATCTGGATGGCAAAAATATCACCAGTTACATAGAAGGCAGCACTGTCAAGCACTACTTCTCTCTAAGGAGCAGGTACAGCAATCACTAATTGTCGAGGTGGTACCTGCACTAACTGAGCAGCAGGCTCTGGCCAGTCTCAAAAGCAATTAGGCACTGTATTGCCTATTTTGTGGATCTTGTAGAATAATAATCTCTGTGCTCCTTAACAGACTTATGATCTATAGTCAACATATACAAAACTTTAGATGACCAAGCCCGAAAGGGCTCCTTTTCACAACAGACCAAGGTCTGAAGAACCCAAACCCGAAGTCTTAAGATTGTGTGACCTCTCATAGCTCTTGAAAAGGCACAAATACAAAGTTTGATTCCTCACTGTATCCTAAAAAGCCATCCTGATTTTGCGACTGCAAATCTGAAAAAGTCAACAGAAATAGAGGCAGAAGCTGCCCATTAAGGGTCTTACAGGCTAAGTCTACCAGGGATCAGAGCAAGCAGCCAGATAAGGCTGTACAAGGCTGTACCTGTACAGTCCACAACAATCTACAGTAGAAAGGAAGTGTATACTGATTAGGATTACCTAATTAAAGTTAACAACTGAATTTGAAAAAAATGCTCTTTTGTCTAAAGATCTCTTGTTCCTACACATTTCCAAATCCCTCAACTCTGTTCTGTCTTCTGAAGAATATTTTACATTCTCTGAGCACTAATACATCACCAAATACTTTTCTTAAAAAGCACAGCAACTATTTTATTCATAGCTTTATTTTTATAGATGAGTTTAGGTTTGATTCCCCTTCATACTTTCAATACAATAGCAGCTAATGACCTACAAATTTCAGTTAAAAAAAAAGAACAAGCAGAAATGTATTGTGTTTGCATTATATACAGAAAAAAAAAAAAAAAGGTTACGTTTCTAGAGGATGGGGGCAAGGATTGCTTTTCAAATGCAGTGAGAATAGTAATAATTCTGCCGTTATGCTGAGACCTTTCACAGCAGGACAAGTTTTTATTACCAAGATATAAAGTCTCAAGGAAATAGATTTATAGGGGGCATAGTGACACTAATCAGAAATCCTTATGAGTGCCCATAGAGCACAACTTACAGGCATTGAATGTGTTCATCAAATTAATCATAGGCCTTTGGAAATGTTTACCTACATGGTACTGGTTTGGTTAAAGTCAGTCAAACTTTAGGATCAGATTCTTAATATATCCCTGTAAAGCTTTTTCTTTTGGGTTACCAAGGAGAGAAAAGAGGAGGCAGTATCTGCCCAGGTACACATGTCCTATAAATCACAACACTTTGGACATTGTCTCTCATAATAAAATAAAATACCATGATATAAAATTAATAGTGATTCAGAGAAAACACATTTTCCCATGGGTATTGGGAGGTACTGACACAAATGAACCAATGGTCGCTGTTAAATTTTTAAAAGAAAAATGTCAAAAGCAATTTGTCCCCAGTCCCCACCTCCTCTCCCAGTCTAAACTGCTGTGGGAAATAAATAAGAGACGGTTTTATTACAGGCAGGGGTTTCCATGGCTGCCTCATACCAAGACAACTGGGGGCCATTTTGTTTGGAAAGCTGAGGAGCCATTTTGTGGTCAAGGACTAGTGGGCTGCTCGTAGTTCTGCTTAAAGTTACTTATTGCTGCTTACAGTTCTGCCTACCTGCTGCTACATACAGTTCTGCTTGGGGTTGCTATGGCTGATTATTGTTGCCTACTCCTACTTACAGTTCTGCTTCCTTACCGCTCCAGTGTGAAGGCGAGTGGGGAAGAACGTCAGGTGGTGAGACCAGCCAGGGGTCCCTGCCAAGGGACCATGCGGCCAGGGCAGGGAAACAACCAGACAGGTGAATGAAGACAACCAGTGGATGAAGACAACCAGTGGACTGCATCACAGGGCAAAGATCACCTTTTAAGTAAGAAAAAAGCGAGGGCTGGCATGGGAGGAGCGAGGGAGTGGCCATGCTAATCGAAGGGTCTTAAAATGGCTCATCCCTCCCCTTTGGAGGTTGCTTGAACCTGAACATGATCACGAGTTCGAAGCACCCAGCGGGCTGTTAATGAAGTTCTTTGTTTCACTTTATTTGGCCGTCTCCGAAATTCTAATTGGAGGTATTTCCTACATTGCTTTCAAAATTGGCAATACCTCAATAAAAGTAAAATTTAGCCCCACTGAGACCAATAACAAAGTTTCCACTGAATTTGCTAGAGACAGGATTTCGTTTGTGGATAGCAGAATATCATCTTAAATCCAAGTTTGGTCCCACTAGCTCAAGTCTGAGATCAAGTATGTTTATAAAGTTATGACTTCAGGATTCCTGGAATTGACATGTTCCATGCTAAGATTTTCCTGTGCATGCTCAGGAAAGTAAGGTGTCTGGTTTAGGCATTTTGCAATCTAAAACCAAGATCTGCAAAAATTTGTGATCAAAGTTCCCTATTAAAGAAAAAGGCACCTCTCACAGGAGTAAATATTGCACTTCGTAGGTGGAAGCTATTCCCAAATGAAGAAGAAAAGACCAGCTGTATTGCTCTGCTGTGCAGAGTTCATAAGAACCCTCCAGAATAAAACATTTGTATGTGTTTTACTGAATAATTTTCAGCCCTGAAATGTTATTAAAGTAAGAATTTCACTTAATATGAATATATGCAAAATACAACATTTTTTTCGTGCAAACCGTATTCACTTATATTGCTTAGGAGAATGACAAGATATTATTCTGGACTATCAATTCTAGAATGCTGCTCCACAGAGTATACAAAACACTTAACAGCAGAGAAACAAACCCCCATACACTTCATACATCACTAGTGTTAATTATGCAATGTTGCAAAAGAAGATTAAAAAAAAAAAATCTGTCCCTTAAGCTTTAAATTTGCTTTCTTAAGCATTAGGTATTTTGCACTATTTTTTAGCATGCAGAACAAGAAATAATTTTGCAATGTTGTCATGTATGTTCAATAAAAATGCAAATACATAAAATCCCTATATCTGAACATTAACTCAGGTTGATGTTTACTAAATAATACTTGTAATAGACTGCAAACAGGAAATATATGAAGCACATATTTTTTAAGTAGTTCCAAGAAAATACTATGTTTTGTAGCTTTGAAGGGAAGTAGACAAGGGACTGACAGTTTTTCCTGTAGATATGCAGTTCTAACACCTAGATAGAAGATGAGGTAGCTGCTTCCCTCGTTCTTAATAAGAAGACCTGGCAACTTCAGGACTTGACCAAAGAGGTATCAGTGACTTCCAGCAGTTGAAAGAAATCACCACAGTCTTTTACAAAGATCTGCTGTTAACCAGCTTCAATGACTTTCCAGGCAGCCTACCTGTTTTGTTTGCAGCTTTAATACACTAGTGGCTACTTATGCAAAAAAGGCAAAAACTAATTAAATTTGTTTATGTATGTTATCGTGTGGAGCACTCATTTCCAGACATCAAGCTATGAATCATTAAATAACTGCTAAATTGGTCTCCTGGGATAGATCATGGCTCAGAGTTGGGCAGGCCCCCATCCCACCAAAGCCAGGTGTGCTCTGCAGTGAGCAGGCATTAAAACTGCTTTAAAGGCCATGATTTGGGTACGCAGCCAGGTCTCACACTGTGAGGTGAGTGGTAGGAAATCATGAAAACAGTGACAGCCCTCCTGTCAGAGTTACTCCTCTTTTTGATTAATGAGGGCATTTGAAAGACAATTAGCCAGAGCAGGTTTGGCTGCAACTAGCTTATCAATCAGGCACCCTCTATTCAAAGCACTACTGCCTTCTTTGTTTTTGGTTGCAGAAGAATTGTATCAGTGATACACAAACAACAAGGGACCTTTACATGTTATTTAAAAAGATGAGAGCAAAATGTAGCAAATCAAAACTGAAATAGGATAAAACATTTTGCAAGCCACAAGCCACTGGAGACTGCAACTTCCACATTGCCTAATTTTTAGTTTGTGCATTTTGAATTCAAGGCTGTACAACTATATCAAGCACTTCCAAGTTTCACAAGGGCAGGTTTAAGCTGAGTTTTCGACGACAACAATGAAACCCAACTA